TGTAAGTTTCAGTGGTATTTGTTGTAATATACTCCCTTTTACCTATAATTTTTTTGAGTCTTCTACTTCTTTTGGTTTGCTTAGTGAAGGGTTTATCAATTTTGTTAATCTTGACTATGTCATGAAGAGATTCTACTCTGGCCATGTCTTTTGAGTTCTAAATGCCTCTTATACTTGGATGTCTATATTTTCTCCCATATCTGGAAAATCTTCTGGTGTCATTTCACTAAATAGGTTTTCTTTACTTTCAGTCTGTAGCTCTTCTCCCTTTTCTATTCCAATTATTAAGTTCATTTGGTCTTTTAAAGGTGTCCCATAGATCTTGTACATTCTGTTCATTTTGAGGTTTTTTTTTTTTTCTTTTTCGGTACTGGGGATTGAACTCAGGTCCTTGCACTTGTAAGGCAGGCAGTGGAACCACTGAGCTAAATCCCCGCCCCTTTTGTTTCTTTTTTTAATTTTAATTTTTTATTAGGACATGTTTGCGGTACATAATGATCACATTCCTTGTGAGGAGTTGGTACATGTACATAACACATGTCAATTCTTTTTGTCTTTTGTCTTGTTTCTTCTGTTAATTCTTCTTTTTCTTTATCAACCTTGTCTTCAAGTCTTGCCATTCTTTCCTCCACTCAATCTATTTTATTGGTGAGGTTTTCAACTGAGATTTTTATCTGACTTACTGAGCTTTTCATATCCAAGATTTCTATTTGTTTTTTTCAGAATCTCTATCTATTTACTGAATTATTCTCTCATATCCTGCATTGTCTTCCTTACTTTATTCAATTGTTTATTTGTATTCTTTTGTAATTCATTTATCTTTTAAAAAATTCTTTTAAATTCATCTGGCATATCATCCACCTTGTTATCTCTAGAGTATGTCACTATAAAATTATGAGCTTTTTGAGTTGTGATATTGCTTGATTTTTCATACTCTCCCTTCCTGGTAGTGGATCTCGGTGTCCTCTACTACTGAGCTACATTCCCAGCCCTTTTTATTTTGAGGCAGGGTCTCAATAGTTGCCTAGGCTTGCCTGAAATTTATGATTCTGTCTCAGCCTCCTGAGTAGCCAAGATTACAGGCATGTGTCACTGCTCCCAGGTTATTTCCTGTGTATCTATGTTGAGCTTTGTGCATCTGTTGAGTATCTCCTTATGGCTTCTCTTTATGATGTTCCATGCTTTATTGACTTACTGTACAATGTTGGGTTTAATTCAGCTTGGACTTCATAGTGTAGTTTCCCTGTGGTTGCTTTGGCTGTGATTAGTGGGTTTTGACATAATATATATTATGTCAGGGCCTGAGGGACCAGCTTTCTCTACTTGTAGGTCTCACAAGAGTGGGGTCCCTTTGGCAGTTCAGAAAGGTATGATGTAGACAACAGAATATATGGCATGTACCTTCTGTGGTCATTCTTCCAGACTTGTTGGTAATTGTGGTCTAATGGGGATGGGGCTGACCTAAGATCCTTCATAGGTTTGGTGTGTATAGATTTTGTGTTATTTCTCTTTTCTTTTGTTATGAGACCAAATTTCCAGGAGCAGGTGTTCAGGGCCCCCTAGCCATGAATACTTGGGACTGGCTCATAGGCTGAGATCTTTTATTTCCTTTATCCTTTAAATTGAACTATCTGTCAAGGCTTGTGTGCTGCTGGATAGTGGGTGGAGTAAAGCACAGTTTCTGTTAGTTGGACTGGGAGTGACAGAGCATCAACCTAGCATGCTCAAATTGGCAGGCACAATCAGCAGCACTACACAGGAAGAGGAACACAAACAACAATAGTAACAGCAAATGAAAGCAAACTGGAGACACAAATAAAGTAAAAACCAAATAAAAACTCCCACATCTACACCAGCAATAACAGAAATGATAGAGGTAAAAATAATATAGAATAAATCAGAATCAAAAATGATATATATAAAATTTTCTTCTCTTCCAAGATTGTTAATTTTACAGACCAGAGTGAATGTTTGCAACGTAAGTCAATCAGACCTTTTTTCCATGTCTTCTTAGGCTATGATCTCCTGAGAGAGCAGAAGCTTGGGGTTAACTCATTCCTTTCTTCTTACCTTTGTGTTGCTTCCCCAGGAGACCAGCAGGAGTAATCTGTGACCACAGCCAGCTGAAATAATTCCTATCTTCCCTGTTCACTGTTTGAGCTAACACTGAAAGCAGAGCTAACTCAGCAGAGATTTATTCCAGAGGTAATTTTTGTATGCATTCCAAGGGCAGGGTGGATGACAGGTGCTGCCATACATCAAGTTTTCTTACACCTTTAATGATGACTATCTTGAGAGTAGGAGAGGTTATGTAGTTACAACCAACTGTCTACATGGGAGAGGTCAGTACAATCTACTACCCACTGCTCTGATGTTCCAACACTTAGGTCCTGTGCAAAATCACATGTGCCTCCTCAGTTCCCTGAACTCCTGCAGCTGATTTCCCAAGGTACTGATCTTAAAGGGGTAGTAACCTCCATTCCCTTCCAGGTAGTTTAAAATGGATCTCAAGGCAGAGATAGTCACTGAATCAGGGTAGTAATGTTTGCTGTGAGGTTTTAGATAGAGACTGAAAACTCTAGTGGCCATTGATTCACAACATAATTAAGCCTAGACAAGGCCTTCTTTAGATTGCTCCTTGCCACAGCACTAAACATACACAATAGGAAGTGCAGTGATTTCTCAGTGCCATTTTCATTGCAGATCCCAGATCCACTATATGTTCAGATTGCCCTTCTGCATGGTACCAATTCCCGTGTTTGATGTGTTTATTGGGTCTTTCCCCCTTTCTTCTCTACCTACACCCTTTCCCATACTGCTGAGCAACTGGTACTGGGAAGCTCTGTCTGTCTTTCTGTTCCACTATTCCAAGTCTCTGGGTTTTTCTGTCTCTGTCTATTGGCTATAAATGAGTAGCTGCTCTCCAGTTGTTTGATTTTATCTCATGAAGAAGTGGGTGAGTGCTGGGTGCCTCTAATTTGTCATCTTGAATCCTGAACATCTGAGTAGTTAATGACTTTTTAAATGAAAAGGTTTCAAATGTTTTAAGTTGCATAATCCTTCAACTAAAATCTCCCAAGAAAGCACAGCACAAAATGATGATAGTGGGGTACACGTGTGTATGGGTGCATGTGAACTGTTCACATCCTCTTGACCTTACCACACGACCCAAAGATAAAAAAGCAGAGCATAGTTCAGATCAAGATGATGGATGAAATTTCCAACAATCTACAAATGGATAACTTTCCTAAATGAGATAGAATAAAAATATTTCTCAGGATGTCCCCAGAAAGTAACCAAGTTAAAATGAAAAATTGTGATCAACTTTGACCTTGTGGTATGATCCTGAAATGAACAGTAATGATGTAATAATAAATGCCAACAGAAGATGGCAGGCTTCAAAATATTTAAAGATTGAATATAATTTTGTTTAGGTCATTGATTTGAGAGGCAGAAGAAATCTGGTCCACGTAAAAGGTTTCCAAGTGGCAAGAAAAAGTTTGATAGTGTAGCAGGTGAATGCATACCTGCTGATTACCAATTAGATCATCTAGGTAGATTAAAAGATGTGTAGTTAATGTAGGTATTCTGATATTTGTTGCAAGAGTATAGCCCACTGTTCAATTGGCTTGGTTAAACAGTTTATAAAATAGCATTTTTTTTTTATAAAATAGCATTTTACAAGTATGATCAGCTCAAATCAAATCGTACCTTTTCTGTTTGTTTGTTGGTAGTGGTATTGAAGGGCCTTTACACCAAACTCCATACTTGGTCTGTTTTTATTTTTTATTTTGAAATAGGGTCTCATTGAGTCACTAGGTTCCCCAGGCTGGGCTCAAACTCCTTGTGGCCTCAGCCTCAAGGTGCTGGGATTACAAGCTTGTACCACCACACTGTCTTCAAATCAAATCTTGATTTAACACAGGCATAAAGACCATGCAATATTTCCTCATTAACTTATTTGGCTCTTAGTAGTAATAAAATAAATCCAGCATGAACTTATTTAAAGCCTGTATACTAAATAAAAGAAAATAGGAAATACAGGGATAGATCTTGTGCAAATGGGAAGGAGACCAATAGATGGTGGGAAAAGGGAGAGAGGCGAGGGGAAGAAGATGAAAGAAAATTAAGGTGTGTTATGTACCTGCCCCCCACGGGAAATGCAATCATTACGTACTGCAAACATGTACTGATAAAAAAATTTGAAAAAACAAAGCATACTTAAACTTTTAATAAACTCAAAACTATTTGTATTAAACTCTGTAGTCCTATTCTTACATATAAGAATATATACAATTTATTTTTAGAAACTGCCACTACTTTCTCTGAGTCCTTTATATTGGATTTCAGCCCACAATTAGACAAAGTAAGTATCTGAATATTGAAACAAGAGTAATAACTCATCAAGAAAAACATATTCCATGAATTACATAAAGATCATTGCTATATGTCAGTGGTGGTGAACCTACAACACACATGCCACAGCAGAGTGCTTGTATCATTGAAAGTTCTAACAGGTTCACCCTCATTGCTATATACTAACACATAAGTATGTGTAATAGTTTGCAGGGCTCTGACTCTCCTAGAATACAAGACACATATTTCAGTGTGAGGTTTAAATTCCCATTTTGTCCTTTTTTATTAAACCCAAAAAGACAACTTCTGCTCAAAGCAAGCAGCTACATGATGCAAAACTAATTTGGAAGAATTTAGATTGAACAGGAACTGGATAGCATTTCTATTACTTGGCCTGTTATAGACATTTAGGTTTGTCACATCTTTTTAGAAATAAAGAAAAGATTCTTCAATTAATAAACACCAAGGAGTTCACTATCCAAAATCATCATCTCAGACTAAGTAAATGATTACATTTTTAACATGTGTGCCATGATCAATATTTTACTACAATATAATCTTGTCATGTCCCTGGAAAGCAAAAAAGCATTTACAATGAATATATTAAGTCAACTTCCAAAAAAGTTAACAAATTCATGACTCACTTTCCAAGCATGATAAGTACCAGAGGGATCTGTCTGATATAATCTTGGGATACCATCATCATCAAAACCTACAATTAAGGCAGAAATACCAAAAGGTCTTCGTCCGTTGCTCTGGGTGTATTTCTGAAAAGTAAAATTTAGCTTTAGGATAACATTATTACTTATCAAATAAAATTTTAATGATAAGGCATTGGTGTCAAAAGGATCTACTTTCCTGAGTCTTGTTCTACCTACTTTTAAGATCCTTTCTGCACTACCTTCAATTCATAATGAAAATTTTAAGAAATTATTATATACAATCTATAAAGTAAAATGACAAGTCTGTTTTTATATAGTTTTAAAATATTTTTCTGTTGCTTTATGTATATTTGGTAACATAAATAGACTAATTTCTTTAATACAGTAGATAACTATCTTTACACCATACCACTTTGGTTCTCAACAAAACTGATTTCAACGAGCTGTGCTTTGGAACTGCGTACTTGGTTTGCCTTGAGGAACACTTTATTTCTTTATTTTATTTTTCATTAATAAAGGGCTTTATTTTATTCATCTGAACTTTAGAAAATGCCAGAATACCTTAGATTTGACATAGTGCTGGGGCCAAGATCAAACAATTTCCTTTGTACATTTGGAGGCAAGTAAGTCACTGCCTCTATTCTCTAGCCCTAACCCTAATGACTACTGTTCCTCCTCAGGAAAGCACCTCAGACACAATCTTCAGGCTGCTGACTGTGAATGCTACCCAGATACTGTCTTCCCCAGGGCAGTTCCTCAGTCGTAGCAGGAGGCCCAGTTTCTCTGGACCGTGACTCCTTGCACAAGCACATCCCGAAGGAGACTCTAGTGCAAGTGAGGCCACCTGGCAAAGCTCTCTCTGAAAATGCCTTGCCAGTAGTCCTGTGGGGTGTGCTGACCTTTGTCCCAACTACCCAGGGGCCTATGTCTACTGGTGACTCCTCTCCTGGGAGACTGAGGGCTCCAATCAGATCCTCTGTCTCCTGAATGGAGGCTGAAGCAACAGTGTTTCTGCCTGGCTCTCCAGGCAAGACTTCACCTGACTGTAGAGTGCCATAAAGCAGCACTTGACAGCAAATAAGCAGGATGACAGTACAGTCTTTCCTGTCCTTTCCTGTCAGGACTTTAGGCCCATCTTTGCCATCATCTCTTCATAGACTGTCCATGCCATTGCTGCCATCAGAGTTCTGCGGAGGGCCCAGGGAATGCTGCCTTGGAAGAAGCCACTCAGCCCATAGTCTTTGAAAATGAGTGTTACTGCTTGGCCAATCCACTGAAACTTCACTGGGGAGAGCTGCATATGAGTTTTGATAATATCTGCAGGTTGAGTTACCAACGAGGCCAGCATACCAGCAAATATCCCACAGCTAAAATTCACAACAGGAATGAAGGCTACATTAGACTGGTCGTGGAGCACTATGTTTTTGGTCCGGCTGTAAAACATCAGGTAGATTCCTGAAAAGGGTGCATCATGAAGGAGAGTGGCTGTCAGGCCACTGAAGAGGCCTCAGTGGCCCTCACTGTGATAGATGCTCCTCAGGGTTTTGTAGATGCTCTCATAGCCATAACTCCCACTCTCATAGTGTGTTATGATCACTGTGATGGGCGACATGCAGACCCCTGCAACAGATCGAGAGCCCATACCCAATATAATTGACTCCAGGGCACTGGGAGGATGGCCTCGCAGGAAATACTGCTTCAAAGAGCAGAGAGTGCCAAAGTAGATTCCAACAGCAGGGACACATCTCACAATGGAAGGGGACATCCCTTTCCAAAGGCCCAAAAGACTCTCTGTGCGAACCACCTTCAAGAGTACAGTAAACATCCCAACGCATCCGGACCCATGGTCTGAGGGCTAGAGAGTCTGCAGGCGTGTTTTAAGGAGATGCAGAGGCTGGAAAAGTAGGGTGGAACAGGTCCCACTGAAGGAGCCACATAGGAAAGCCTTTATGACCGGATGTAACGTGGCTCCGACGTCCTGCGGAGGCAGCAGCGCGGCCCAAGCCTTCTGAAACATGGGCAAGGAGGCGGCGAGCGCGCGGGCCTGCCTGGGGACTGTGGAGGGCAGGGAGGGCAGGGAGGGCAGGGAGGGCAGGGAGGAGGGCAGGGAGGGC